CCCCACGCAGCCGGCGCGCGCGTGCCCCAACTTCATACTCTCCCTGGGGCCGCCCACTCGCCCGCGGCAGCCAATCCCCGAGGATGTGGGCGGTGGGGGCGGGGCCCCGGGCACCTGCCCCGCAGCTGCCGCGAGCCCCGCGTTGAAGAGCTGCTGGATCCGGCACCCACCCTCGCCGGCCCGCCACCAACATTTGCGCGATGTGTTCTCCTCTAAGCGTTACAATTATACTTTCATACCTATGAAACAAAAATAAGTGTAAAGCTGTGGGTTCTATATGACTGATAGTAAAACGCCAAAGATGACTGAATTTACTGTCAAAATTCTAATGATGGGCTGGTGGTGGCTCAGTGGGTAGTATTATGGAGACAAACACTCTGTAAATCAATTTTTGTGTTTTCCCATAAATTTATTTTTCTCACCTTTTAGAAAAATCACTATATATGTTGCTGCAGTAAAGATTATGTTCTTAATGTCAAATTAAATCACCGTTCTTAAATCATTGTAGTTCTTAAAGTGCACTTCATTAAATTCAATTTGGAGAAACTTTGCCAAAGCATATAGCACTGAAATTGTTTTTTTAAAAAGCGATATTCAGGTTTCGGGATTACCCATGAATTTTGAATCTCATGTCTAGCATTATAGTGGGATCAGTAAGATACATGATCACAGAAAATATTACAAAATAATGTAATTTCATCATATAAGTTGCTATCATTTATTTTGTGATTTTTTCCATCCCTTACACAAATATCTAAATCCATACAGTAGTCCCAACAGTCATCTATACAAATGTAAGAATAATTTGAATTGTTGTCACTGCTTGGCTGTCATGTGTAACTGTTACACAGCCATGCTAATTCCTGAGTACATCTGGAGCCACAAATCGGAATAGCAAAAGAAGCCAGAAAGTGGATGATTCTCGGCCCGGGAAACAATACTTTGTAACGGAGGAATCATTGCCTTCATGTGATCTGAGAAGGATCTGACAAGTTGACCAATTTTTTTTTAAGTCCAAGCACTCTGGGATTTAAAATAGTGTTCTTTTCAAACATCAGCATTGCCATAGGTTATGGGTTCCACTGAGCCAGCACTGAGTGTCAGATCCCCAGTGACAGAGGTGCTTATGTGTTCTGTAATAAACTTCTGTGTATGTATATGTGTGTGTTTTGATGAGCAGTGCCCTCTAACAGTACAGTACAGTCTTAGGGACTAGACTGGCCATGCGGCTCACATGGGCCTCTTGCCAGAGAGGAACCCCTGGCCATACATCATGTGGTCACTGGAGCTGACAATATGCCCAGCGCTTGCAAGCTGCTTGAACTTTGGCTCTGCAGAACGATCCGCTCCCAAAGTCCTGAAACAATCTAGTCAACAAGGGAAGGAAGCCAAGAGGGCAATACTTAGCAGACAGCCTGTACCCCTCCTACTGAAGAAGGTAGCCAGACCCAATTCTTTCTGCCCCTATTACTTGAGGAGGGGGGGAAAAGGTCAAGGCATTGTTGGCACCATTGACATTGTTAACAAGTTGTACCTGGGCCCCTGCAGCTGCAAATGGGGGGAGAGGTGAGCAAAATCAAAGCCATGTTTGTGGGGCTAGTTTCCTCAAGAACCTAGCACAATCGGTTACCCAGACTTAGTGAAATTAAACTGTTGAAAGATTGGGACAAGGTCCAGTGCAACAGCCTAGCACCCCTTAATAGGGGAGGGGTGATATGGATAGAGGATAACTTTGCCATATAATATACACCAGATATATGCCAAGTTGGGTTTAACCAGATACCAAAACAATTAGATTAGTAGCAGCAGTGTCAGTGGACATTTTCAATTATTTGCTCTGTGATGAGGGATACAAAGAGGATTCAAAATGGGCTCCACGATCCTGGAGGGAGACAATGCATGGACCAGTAGTAATTAGAGTTGTTGCAGCTGTAGCTGGCACTGACATCAGCCCAAGGTTCACTTAGCAGGTGGGGAATTAAGGCTGATTGTGTTTTCTTTACTGGCTAATAATGGCAGCTAATGATGCACATTTAAGAGGCCATGGTATCTATTACCTACAAAAGGAAAGAAAATCTAGATGACTAACATGTTAGGGCACCATGCACTTGAAACTGGGAGATTCTCAGCACCCTCCTGCAGAACCAATGCAGTCTTCAGTGCCCTTGACTTCAGCCTAATAGGATTTACCCAAGTGTTTCCTTTGGAAGGGGAGAGGAGAGAAGGAGAGAGGAAAAGAAAAGAAAAAGGTTCTCAAGGGAAGGAAAGAACTTACTCCCTTTCTTTAGACGTCTTGTGGGTATTGCCAGTATTTTGTGGTTCCTCATGAGATTTCATTATGAAAACGAAACTCCAAGTTCAAGTTATCAGTGAAAACTTTTAGACATCTGTATTATAATTACACGGTAATTTTTTAAATAAGATGCCTTGGTTGCAAGGAACAGAAAAACCTGACGCAAATTGGCTCAAGATAGCAAATGAATTGATTCATGAAGGGGGTCTCCCAGGGCAGCAACACTATGACTAGGACCCAGTTTCTTCATCTCTCCACCTCTCAGCTCTGTCCCTTTGATGTTTGGTGACTCTGATCTCAGACAGGCCCTCCTCTCCTGGTCCCAGAAGAGTCAGAAGCTCCCATGGCTGCCTGCTTGCCTCTTCACATCCAGTAGGAAGGCACTGCTTCTCCAGGGCTTAGCTAAAAATCCCCTGACTGAACCACATTGACTTGGGCCTGATTGTGGTCAGGTGCTCATTTCTGAACCAATTAGTGTGAGCAGGGACTTGGGGTGGCTCAGTATGACTGGATTAAGCCAACCAGAGCCTGCTCCAGGGCCTGGGAGGTGGAACCAGTTCCACCCAAACTCCTTGGCTAGGAAATTCCAGACCTATTAGGAAAAGAGAGGTAGGAAATGGATGTCAGAGAGACAACAAACACTCTTAGCCTTGTCTTCCTAAACACGTTTTGGGATTGGGGGATTATTATTTTAAATGCCTTTAGAGGCGACGCTACTTCAAGAAAATCTTGCTTGTGCTTCAGTTATATTAAAATTCTTTAATAATGCTAATAACAATGCCTTAGGTATTTTTTTTTTGCCTTAAGGTATTTTTCTGCACTACCAATCGAAATAAATACAGGTTCCAGAATGTCTGGAACTCTAAAAAGGAGAACAGGAAAATTAATGTCCCTACATTTTCTTGCTCTATAGAGGGAGAGGCTGTCTCTGGTTTCAAGGTCTGGGTCTGCTGAGTCCTAGGGGCGGGAGGCAGATGAGCTCTGATCCCATGGATGAGGAGAGGAAAGGTGCCAAAAGCTATGGGAGGGTCCATACAGTGCACTGGTGGGTTTTCTTCTGGATTATCTAAAGCCAAACAGATCTTGACTAATTTCTATCCAGAAGCCCCATTCAAGAAATTTATTTTCTTTCTCTTCATGTAATTTTACCTATTTCTTACTAACAATCCTGGTCTTATTATGCTAAAATATTAAACCTTTTCTACACTAACTGACAGCAAATGGCACGGCTCAGTTGTCTGTAACCACTAGGCTTCTCCCCCGACTGTATGAAGAAGGAGGGGACACCTTTCCATTCACATAACCTTACGCACGTGAATCTGTTTTAAGTGGGAGCAGCAGCAGCCCGTCTCAAGCTTCCCAGCGTGGATTTGTTTCTAAATCACAAAGTGTAGTCAGATTCCCTAGGACTGTCTAGAGCACATAGCAGGTGCTCAGTCCCCGTTTGTAAGTTGCATGATGAGGGTGAGCTACCACAGGAGTGAGTTGGAAGTGCAGGGGGAGGGAGACTGGGCCAGGAATTCAAGCCATAGACTATGATTTGGGTTCTGCAATGCATTACCTTTGTGACCTGGGACAATTTGACTTAACCTCTTTCAGCCTCAGTTCCCCATTTATGATAATGAAGACAATCAGTACCTTCAAGGCAAGAAACTGAAAGAGCAGGCATGTGAATAAGCTGAAATAGCAAGATATTATCTGAATCCATACAATTATTTTTCTAATATCAATGAAAGCTAGTGGATCCTTCTGTTCTTATATTTACTTGTCAACAGCATTATTTTTCCAACAGTATTACCTTGAAATATCCACCTACAAGAAAATCTGTACAATTAAATAACCAAATGCATCATATGGAGATAGCTAATTTAAATCATTTCTAATGTAAATGATATGTTTGCTATTATTAATGCATCCTGAGGAAGAAGTGAAGATTTTCAGAGTGTATAAAAAATAAAAAGTAAAAATGTCTAGGTTTTAGAGTTCTTCAGTTGGATCTGAATGGTTTCTGCTTTAATAATCCATTAATATGTTTTTGACACTGCCTGAAGGGTTGGACAAGGAAATCAATAATATTTAGTTTGGACATTTAAAAAATGCATCTTCTATGTCCTGTGTGAGTAGCATGTTTGCGGTCAGCTATGGTTGGTTTATCTCTGCAAGAAGAGACAACTTGCTAATATCAAATAATGCCTTATTCATTTAATCACTTGTGTTTTGATCTGGGGTTAAATTAGCAATCTAAGTGTCCTGGCTCAGCGCCACTGAATTCCCCGTAGTAACTTAAAGAACTAGTTGAAAAGTTTTCTGTCAATGCAGGTAATCCACACAGGAATCACCTGTGCAAGCATGTGGCCATCGCAGAGTGGAGAGTCCTGACAGTCTGGTTTTTTGCAGGGCACACTCACTAAGTGTTCTGTGCTCTCACAGAACAGGGGTGAGTGCCAGCAAAGTTTAGACAGATATTACAAGGCTTCTCATCACTACAGATGAAACGTGTAGCCAGATACACATCCCTAGTTCAATATGGTCAGGATCATAACAGACCTCTACATAGACAAACGGCATAGTTGGTCAGAATCCATTTAATTCCTAGATCTACTCCTTAAATGGTTATAACAGATGTATACCTTATGAACAGATATTCACTGGTTTCCTGCTAATTTGTTCATTCTTTACACCTTTAGAGTTAACATATGGGCCACAGAGAACACCTGAACCCCCACTTTACAGCTAATCCTTGATTTCTGAGCCCCAGAATCTTATGACCCAGTTTTGAGTTCCCCCATCCCCTCATTAATCATGGATGGGAGCGAATCACTATTTTTTGATTACTTTCACATGTATCTTCAAACGATGATCTATCAAAACTGAAGATATCTTTA